ATCTATTTCTCTGTTTCTGACTGCGCCCTCCCTCCCACCCCGCCCCCAAAGCCTCTCAAGGGCAGAGGAAGGCAGTGAAGTTCTGATCCTCCAATCTGTTTATAAACTAACTCTGTAAAATGTCTTTACAAGATGTCTGCGACAGCAAAATCTCTAAGTATTCTGGTTATTTGGCTGGAAACTAAACCTCTTTCAAATTAGGAGACTTTATGTCCTCTTAACTCATTAGGAAAAACTAATTACAGATCTACTGAACATAACATACTTAGGAAGATGTCATATGAAGTTCAGATTACTTTGTTAAGCACTTTATGCTTCACTCCTAAAAGAAATGACATCCTTGTCTAGCTCCTTAAAATGAGTCCTGCACAATTAGTGAGAAATCAATGAAATGTATGCTTCTAATAATTTACAATGAGGTTCAGAAAGATCTGTGTGCGTCTTATTCATATACCCAGAAAATAAAATAGTTTAAACAAAATCATACAGCTCATGCCAGTTTTCATAGTCATCAGAAAAGAAAGCAAACAACTCCAGCAAGGCAATTTCTAACTTAATTCTTTAATTTATTAATAATTATTTTCTAGGCCGGCGCCGCGGCTCACTAGGCTAATCCTCCGCCTAGCGGCGCCGGCACACCGGGTTCTAGTCCCGGTTGGGGCGCCGGATTCTGTCCCGGTTGCCCCTCTTCCAGGCCAGCTCTCTGCTGTGGCCAGGGAGTGCAGTGGAGGATGGCCCAGGTGCTTGGGCCCTGCACCCCATGGGAAACCAGGAAAAGCACCTGGCTCCTGGCTCCTGCCATCGGATCAGCGCGGTGCGCCGGCCGCGGCGGCCATTGGAGGGTGAACCAACGGCAAAAGGAAGACCTTTCTCTCTGTCTCTCTCTCTCGCTGTCCACTCTGCCTGTCAAAAAATTAAAAAAAAAAAATTTATTTTCTAGGTCTCTGTTTTCTAAAATGTTCTTTATGTACAATTTAGCAGACACAAACTTACTATGAAAGGCCATGTTTCCTGTGAAATTCACAGATGAACCTGTGAATGTTTTCATGTCTTCTGGGCTTTGATAGATAGCATTCTATTCAACTACTCACAGGTAAGAGGAATGTGAATGCACCCTCCTTGGAGGTAGGGGCCTGTCCATCTTGATGACTGACCCAGGGCCAGAGCAGGCACACAGTGGGTGTGCAGTATTTGTTGAATGGTGAACAGATTACCTGTGTGCCACTTCCTCTGGAGTTTAAGGGGAATGTGGACGCAATGCAGTAACACTCATAAGGACAGATGGGCTTTATGAGATTTCTGGAAATTTTCTGAGAACCATTGCTAATGCTGACTCAACAGCTAATGTCAATAGTGTCATTCCTCACATGAGAAACTGGTGCAAAAAAAAAAATAAGTTTGCTTCAGTAATTACTGAGCAATTTTGTTTCATTCTCACCCATGTTATGAACCTGCACAATTTTATTACTGAGACTAATTAACTTTCCCACTCCAGTCGTTTCCTTCTTGATCACTCCTCCTCCACCCATCAACCTCTACTTTCTGTCCCTAGCACTGTGCTCCGGCCAAGATGGCCAATGACCCCTAGTTGCCAATCATAAAGGACACCTTACATTCAGTGTAAGGAGACTGTCTGTCTCTTCCCTGACCAGCCTGTCACACTTACTTTCCTGTTTAGGTCACTGCTTTAACGTTGCCAGTTTCTTCCCACCTGGCACACATAAGTGCAAATCACTTACCCATTGCCTACTTTTCCCTCTTCCTAGGTGAGGTCTTCTGCTCCAATGGCTTCGAATAACATTACACCTACAACTCCCAACATCTCCCTCTCTCCTACGCTCCAGTCCCATCAGTTTGTGGGGACTGCTACCTGAAATTCAACCCAAATCAGAATGAAAATGACCCTCATTCTTTAGCCTCCACACTTTCCCCTCCCTGCGTTCCTTGCCATTGGTCACGCTGACACTGCACTTCCACCTCCTCATCCAATCCTTCCTTCTGTGCATTCCGCCTCCTGGTTTTTTCTAGAACACCCACTTCTCTCCCTTGCCCCTGGCACCACCTTCCTCTAATGCCCTCTATTTGTTCCTCTGGATGATTCCTCATACTCACTCTTGCTTCTTTCTGATCCAAACTGATCTTTTTCAAATGAGGTTTTCATTCTGTCATTAAAAGTTCATCTTGGTTAAAATCCATTATTTTTAGGATAAAGTCATAATTCTCCAGAATCCTGGGTGGTGGTGACCTGTTCTCCCTTTACATATTTTTCCTTCTGAGCTTTGATGACACCTATTAAATCACAGGTATTATTTTAGTAAAAGGAATGTGAGTAAACCCTCCTGGAAGGTAGGGGCCTGTCTACCTCTATGGCTGACCAGGACCGCATTTGGAACAGAGCAAGCATAAAGAGAGTGAGTGTGCTGAACTTGCTGAGGAGTGAAGACTACCAAAATCATCTCATAATGGGCTTCAATAGACTCAGTAATGAAAAATAGCTCAGGAGGACCTTAAATGGACATATTGTGAAAAGCTTAAAAAAAAAAAGCACTCCTACATATGCTCCAGATCAAGTGACTCTTGTTTGTCACTTAAAGCTGGTCTTCATTATTCATATTTATCAAAAGACGTTTTGAAATATTCTGTTACCACGGAACTACAGTTTATCATAGAATGGTGCAAACTGAAATGATGCTTATTCCCAAGGGAGACAGAAGTCACTTGATTTCTGTGAGGTTCCAAAGGTGTTTCTGGTAAAATGAACAGGGACCTGGTACAGAAGGGTTCCCTTTTCCACTCTGCTAAGCAGAGATACTCACAGAAAATAATGCAAATCCTATGTGTACTACATCTACCTGTATATTTTATTTTTTAGAAGAATGTTTTAACAACAACAGTTGGATGTCCATAAAGTCTAACATTATAAATTATTGGTTTTATTTTTCACTTTCATTGAAGATCTGTGAAAACAGCCTCTCAATTTCACACCAGTGGCTGGACTAGATTTTGATACTGTTATTCCAGACAAGAGCTAGTACTAAACTCACTGAAAGCAGCTTCTAAAATGTTTGCTTAAAAGAAAGGGGGAAAGAGCAGCCCTTATCTCTGAAAGTTTCTCAAGTTTACAGCAAAACCTCAACAGTATTTCAAGTTGGAGTGACACAGCCAAGTTATTCCTCCTCCTGGACACAAGCGATCTTAGAACATCTAGCTCTGAGAAGGTTACACTAAGATACGATAAAGTGCGACAAAGCAAGGCCACTCCACGACTCTAAGCACAGGCACAAACAAGAGCAGGGTATAACCCACAAAACACCAGATGTTCTGTTCTTTTGCCATATGAATATTACTTCTTCATCCAATCACAGAACAGCCTCGTTTTCCAAAAGCATTCAACCAAAGGCAAATCCTATCTCTCAGACTTTACCCCAAACCACACAATCAAAGTCTTAATTCTGTAACAGATTTTTTGTGACCCACTTACGCCCCTGGCGTGGGTTCTCCCTTGCCTCAGAGAATAACACTAAACCTAATTTGTTCCATTACTAGTGTGTTCTTGATGCTATGTGGACTTCACAGTACCAAGGTATTAAATTATTTTTAAAAATCCCATAATCCAACACACTCTCAAGCGATTTCTTACCCACACTTACAACCTTACAATATGTCCATATGTACTTACCACGTAGGAGTATTACTGAAATACTGAAAGACATACTATTTCCAATTCTGTTTTTGTCTGCTCAACGTTCTGTATCAGTTTTAATGGCTGTATAATATACCACCATGTTTTTTTTTGTTTGTTTTTAAAATCCATACAGCATTTGTCTTTACAAGAATAAAGGAGGAGAATGTACAACATTCAACATCCTACCTAATAAAGTCTTTTTTTTTTTTTTTTTTTTTTTTTTGACAGGCAGAGTGGACAGTGAGAGAGAGACAGAGAGAAAGGTCTTCCTTTGCCATTGGTTCACCCTCCAATGGCCGTCGCGGCCGGTGTACTGCGCCAGGTGCTTCTCCTGGTCTCCCATGGGGTGCAGGGCCCAAGCACTTGGGCCATCCTCCACTGCACTCCCGGGCCACAGCAGAGAGCTGGCCTGGAAGAGGGGCAACTAGGACAGAATCCGGCGCCCTGACCGGGACTAGAACCCGGTGTGCTGGTGCCGCAAGGCGGAGGATTAGCCTAGTGAGCCACAGCGCCGGCCTCAACATCCTAAGAGTCAAGCGCACCCCCACTAGCCTCAGGTCAGATGCCGCCAGGTTCCTAATTACCTGCCCTGTTGCCAAAGTAACATGTAGTGCTATTGCTTTATAACCAACCGAATGATGAAAGAGCTCCAGACCCGGCGATGAGAGGCTGGATTCAGGAATGCATGTGTAAACACTAGGGTGACCTCTGGCTAGGGTTTTCTCGCTCTAGGTCTACTTCCTCTAGTGCAGAGCACAGTCACGCGGGTCCCTCACTTGCGAAGTCCCTGTCCTGTGACTTGCCTGCGGGCTAGAGTCACGGCACAGGCGCCAGCTCCCGTGACTGGCATCAAGGCCACAGCAGGCACGCCAGGACTCGCTCCCGGCTGCCGCCGCTGCCTTCAGGGCCGGGCCACGGCGCGGGCACGGTCCTGCAAGGAACTTATCCAGGAGAAAGCACCTGGTCAGAGGCCACATTTCACGGCGCGTGTCGCTGGAGGGACGTTCGGGAGGCGACCAGAACCTTTCCCGTTAACGGCCGTGACTGCCTAGAGCCCGGCATCATCACGCCACTCGGAGGATGTGCCAATCACACCCAGCCGTTCTGCAGAGTGGGGTCTCCCTAACAGGTGTTCCGGCTTCACCCCGGGGATGGGGCTCACCAGCCCGGCTCGCCTCCACACCCGAGCCACGCGCACGACATCACGCACTCTCGCAGGGATGTGGCCTGGGCCCGGGCGCTCCGCACCTCCGGGCCACCCCGCCCCGCCTGCACCTGGGCGCCCCCGGTCGCGCCTCTGCTCGCGCCCACTCACCGGCGGCGCGTGCTGCGCCACGGCACAGGTGGCTACCGCCACCAGGAGAATACAGGTGAGGGGACTCCGACCCAGCATCATTCCGGTCGCGGGCACCGCTCCAAAGGACGCCTGCAGACGCCGCGAAAGGTACCACCCGCGGCGGGGCGGGAGGTCGGGTGGGGTGGGGGGGATAGCAAGCCGCGCCTTCGCCGACGCGGCCGCGTAACCCACGGCCCCGGGACCACACCACAGGAGGCGAGGGGGGTAGCGGAGAAAACAGCGCGGGAAGAACTCCGCGTTTCAGGGTGGAGGAAGGGGCGGCAGGAAGAGGGAGCCTCCCAGCCGCAGCACGCGCCCGCAGGATGCGAGTGGGGGCTCGTGTTTTGAAGCGATCGTCGATCGGCGCTCCCCCCACCTTCCTCGCCGCCCCGCGGGCAGTGGTTGGGCCCTGCCGGAGCCCCGCCCCGGGGGTGGGGCCGCGGGACCTTTCCCCTGGTGCGTGCGGGGGCGGGCGAGCGCAGGAGGCGGGGGCGTGGCGAGCGGACCTGGCTGCGGTTTTCGCGTGGGTTTATTGGAGCCGGGTGGGCAGTGTGACGGCTCGTGTTTGCCTTCAGAGCGGAGGTGGCCCCGAGGGAATCTGGCCGTTGGGCCTGACTGCAAGGTCACGGGACAACGCCGGGGAGGGGGAGGGCGTCTGGTCCACTCGGCCGCTGCCGGCCGCTGTCACCCACGCGGGCTTTCACCGCGGAGCTGGCCTCTCAGAATTTCGGCTTCGGTTATTTGCCCGCAGGCTCAGGTGGAATGGCCGGGGGAGAACCCGCGGATCCTAGTTTCACGTGTGTGTCCCGCCATTCGGTAGGTGGGTGTTTTCGTCTGACTCGTGCGTGGGTGACTTTAGTTTGGTGGAACCGAGCTAATCCTGGAAAGGAGGGTCGCCCGCTCCTGGAGAACGGAGATGGACAGGAGTACAGCAGCCGCTGACCTTTCGTGCCATCCTCGGACCGATCACCCTCGTGGCCTGAGTTACGTAAAGGCCGTCAGGAAATCCTGCCCTCTGGGTTGCACTTTCTGGTTGAGCCTCTGACATCCCATGCTTCAATAAACACAAAATACTGTTCACGAACATCTTCATGTGTTTCTCCTTTCTTCTACGTATGTGTGTGAAATCGCAGTTTTGTTTGTACTACTTTAGAAAATTCAAAGCCTCTTTGTTGGACGTTGGGAAATGAGAATTTGATCCCCCCCACCATTGTTCTCTTTAAGGAGGAAGTTTGACTTTTGAAACGAATCAGATGATGAGGGCATATCTGAGTTCCTGCTTCAGCGATAAGTAGGCAGATCATAAAAATATTCACTAGTAATGTAAGAATTCACTGGGGATCTGCGGTGTACCAGGGATTTTTCTGGATGTAAAGCAATGAACAATAAACATCCTTCTATTATGAGGCTTACATTCTAGATGAGATATTGGCAGTGAGAAGATTATGCAGGATGTGGGAAGGTAATAAATGCTACAGAGAAAAAGCAAGGCACAGGGGATCAAGGATGTGCAGGCTGGGAGCAGAGAGTTACTATTTTAAGTTAGCCAGGTAGGACGGGACAGTGCTGAGAAGGAGGTGAAAGACCAGCAGACATTTGAAGGAGGTGAGGAAGTCAGCCTTGTGCGTGCCCAGGAAAGAGTATTCCAGGCAGAGGGAGCAGCAGGTGCAAAGCTTTCAAAGTGAGGATGTGCCTAGGGTGTTCTGCCTCAGCAAGGAGCCAGTGTGGCTGGAGCAGATGGAACAGGGGAAAGTAGAGGTTGGAGAGGTGAGGAGAGAATGGCAAATTTTACAAGGTAATGTTGAATATACATATTTAATGTTGAATATGTTGAATTACCTGAAGCTTAAAATAAGTCGGTCAGGATAGAGGATTCCGAGTTTTAGTAGCTATTGCTAAATCAGTTATTTGCTTTGAAGATCATTCACTGTAAACACTACTGAGAATTATTTCAATGTGTCAGTGCACATTTTCCCTATGAAAGAGTATTACTTGGTAGTCTGTCAAAATCAGATTCTTTATACAGATTTTTGTCAGTTTATACAATTTAATGTCAATATGTAATATTCTTATGGAAACTTTATATAATTCTGCATATAACTTTCAAAGGCCTACTATATACTGTTAATTTTAGTCACTTTGAGATTTAAATCTACTTACCTAAAATTATGGTATTTTGATGCATGTCTGTTTTTTTACACATATATGGCTTTGCCTACCTGGTTCTCTGGTACTAGCAGTGTACACACATAGGGTGTGTGGCCACTGGAAACTTTGCCATGGTTTTTAACACACTGACCTATTCATAGAAAAGGGTATTTAAATGTACAAATGAATGATTGTGTCTGTTTAAAGGGTGGTTCAAATACTGTACAGAAGTTTAAGACTTGGATAACCTGTTTAGTATGCAAGAGTCAGCATAAGTAATGAGATTGTTTATGTGAATAGCTAAAGTTCTTGGCAAGCAATGGACATCCTAATCTCCTACCTAACATTCCTAGGTTCTTGAGGTGGAGCCTTGATTTAAAGTCATTGCAACGTAAGCACCCCACCCTAACTGAAATATAAAACCGCATAACCCAGAACAGGTATGACTTGATTTACTCAAACTAAGTATTCAAATATTTGTACTAGAAGGTCAATAAATACGGAGATAATATTTCATTTTGAAAATAACAAATATTTACCAATTGGTTATTTAAGTTTTTTTGAAAAAAAAAAAGGCTTAGTTTATTTAAAATGTATTTCAAATGTTTTTCAAAACAGATTCCACTCTCTAGCTTAATACTGTATCTTGTGGCTTGTGTACCAACATCAGCTCCACTGTTCTGTGATGTGGCGCCCATATGATTTGGATGAGACCCTGATTGGCTAAAAACATTTGAAAGTACGATAACCCTCTTGCCGAAGTGCTTGGTGTAGACCTTAGTCACCTGGACACCAGAACCAGTGTGTGGTTTGAAGCTCAGAATTTTTGCTTTGTAATTGGGCCAACTGCCCTCTCTCTTCTAACAGAAAAGAGGAAGTTAGTTCCCAGTGTTGCGGTATTCACGCTGTAAATTGAAGGGAGCTGCCCAAGATGAAACAGATACTGTGGATAGCACAATGGAAATATAAAAAAGAAACTGGGTCATTGATGACATTGTTAACATACTAGATTAACCAACCACGGAGACTGTCCAACAACTGGACTTTTCATTTTTATGAGCCACTACTCTTCTGTGAGGTCACTTTGTTTGCAAGTTGAATTATTATATCTGAGCACATTCTAACTGGAATACACATAAGAATAGGTTTTTCTCCCTTCTCAAGAGCAGAAGAGGCTTACCATAACCCTATGAACCTGGGGCCAGCATTGTGGTACAGGAGGTAAAGCCACTGAGCTGTGACACTGGGACTAGTGAGATGGCATTGGTACATGCAACCTTGACGGGATTGTACTGGAATCCCCTGGCACATTTCTAACTCCACCATTTGGAGCAAGTCCGATTGAGCATGTCCCAAATTGTACATCTCCTCCTTCTCTTATTCCCACTCTTATATTTAACGGGGATCACTTTTCAGTTAAATTTAAACACCTAAGAATAATTGTGTGTTAATTACAGAGTTCAACCAATAGTACTAGAACAAAAAAAAATACTAAAAGGGATAAAGTATTAAATTGTACATCAACAGTCAGGACAAGGGCTGATCAAGTCACTGTTTCTCATAGTGTCCATTTTACTTCAACAGGTTTCCCCTTTGGTGCTCAGTTTACATGATAATATTCTTTTCTTTCCCTCCTCCCTCTCTCCCTCTTTTTTTTTTTAGTTTTTTTTTTTTTTTTTAATTTGGCAGGTAGAGTTATAGACAATGAGAGAGAGACAGAGAGAAAGGTCTTCCTTCTGTTGGTTCACTTCCCAAATGGCTGCTACCACCGGCGCTGCGCCAATCCGAAGCCAGTAGCCAGGTGCTTCTTCGTGCAGGTGCAGGGGCCCAAGCACTTGGGCCATCCTCCACTGCCCTCCCGGGCCACAGCAGAGAGCTGGACTGAAAAAGGAGCAACAGGGACTAGAACCCAGGGCCCATATAGGATGCTGGCACCACAGGCAGAGGATTAACCAGTGAGCCACAGCGCCAGCACCCCCCCTTTTTTTTATTTTTTATTATTATTTTTTTTTTGCTTTTTTTCCAGCCCCTTTTTTAAGTTTTTGAGTAACATGTTTCAAATTTACCTTACACTAAAAAGGGTTAATACTTCATCAAATAAGAAGTTTGTTTTTTTTCTTTTTTAATATTTATTTATTTATTTGAGATGCAGAGTTATAGTCAGAGAGGGGGAAGAGACAGAGAGAGAGCTTCCATCCACTTGTTCACTCCCCAAATGGCAGCAATGTCCGGATCTGGGCTGATTCAAAGCCAGGAGCCAGGAGCTTCTTCCAGGTCTGCCATGTGGGTGCTGGGGCCCAAGCACTTGGGCCATCTTCTACTGCTTTCCCAGGCCATTAGCAGAGATCTGGACTGGAAGAGGGGCAGCTGGGACAAGAACTGGCCCCATATGGGATTCTGGCATCGCAGGAGGAGGCTTAGCCTAGTAAGCCATAGTGCCGGCCCCTTGGTTTTTTCTTAAAGAGCACCACCCTTACTGTATATGTTTCAGGTCTCACAAAGCCAGGATCTACCATCAGAGGTTTTTGGAGAGAACTTCCTTTCTCCTATTCTTCTCCATTGATATTTCCCCAGGGGAGGAGTGACTCTAAGTAGCTGAAAGGGTTATAGAATATATGGCCCCTCTCTGACTCTCTCATTCAACTAGCCAGTCCACAGTGCTAGGCTCACTGCACCCAGCCGGCGTGATGCGAGCAGAAGGAAAGTAGTTGCTGACTTTGCCATTATCTTCCTAAGTGGACAGATCTCCAACCCACTTAAAAAATCCATGTTCACATGGTTGCTGTGAAAACTCTGAAAGGGGAGCTTTGGGAGACAAGGAGAGGAGGGATTCAAGAAATGGAGCCTTTTGGGAATACTTGCACCCCGACTGCCCATGGTACAGGTCCTGTCCTGCCCTTCCAGTCTCACCCTGCCCTTCCAGCCTCTCCCTGCTCTCAGTCCACTCCCTCTCAAGTTGGAAACTGGTAGTGTTC